ACAGGGAAATAGGGAGTCCATTATATTTTCTAAATACGCACTTATTTTCCCCTCCTGCTCCTATCTTCAAAATCCACTCAATGATTAAAAAACAATCCCAACTAAAAGTCATGATTCTACCTTTCAAAACTTATAGAGTTGTTACAGGACACTTCCAAGTTTCAAGAAGAAATTCTGATAATTGTTTGTACTAAAAGCTGTATTCCCCAGAGGTAGTGGTAAAAATAATATGGTTAGCAATTTTGTGTCATCTGGTTTTGGAAAGGTAGTAAAGTTGGGATGTTTTGTCATAATGGCAGAGAGAAAAAAATTAGAGTATAGTAAATTAAATGGCTAACAGTGTTTAGCATCAAGACTCTAACAATTGTCTAGGTGTAACTGTCACTGTAGAGTGACAATATTAGGTCTTATATCATTTGATTCTATTTTTGAGTATAGTTTGAGCTGTGTTAAAGCAAGTTGGTACACTATACAAATAAAATATATGCATGGTTTATATATATAATTATCTATACATTAAATAAATATGCTATTGAGAAAGTATTTTAAATATTAGTAAAACTTCATTTCTTTCTTATTTTTATTTTTTATTATTTTTTTTCTTTCTTATTTTTAAAAAAATATATTTTATTGATTTTTCACAGAGAAGAAGGAAGAGGGACAGAGAGCTAGAAACATCGATGAGAGAGAAACATCGATCAGCTGCCTCCTGCACACTCCCCACTGGGGATGTGCCCACAACCAAGGTACATGCCCCCGACCAGAATCGAACCTGGGACCCTTGAGTCCGCAGGCCGATGGTCCATCCACTGAGCAAAACCAGTTTGGGCTCTTTCTTATTTTTAAAGAACAAAATAAAGACAGATTTTTTAAATTTAAATTCTTTATTGTTGAAAATATTACGTATGTCTCCTTTTTTACCCCATTGACTTCTCCCTGGCTGCTCCCACCCCCCAGCACATGCTCTCACCCCCCTACTGTCTGTGTCCATTAGTTATACAAGTCCTTTGGTTGACCTCTTACCCACCCGCCTCTCACTCTACCCTCCCTTCCCTCTGAGGTTTGATGGTCTGTTCAATGCTTCTATGTCTCTGGATCTATTTTTGTTCATCAGTTTATGTTGTTCATTATATTCCACAAATGAGTGAGATCATGTGATACTCATCCTTCTCTGACTGCCTTATTTTGCTTTGCATAATGGTCTCCAGTTCCATCCATGCTGTTGCAAATGGTAAGAGTTCCTTCTTTTTTACCACAGCGTAGTATTCCATTGTGTAGATGTACCACAGTTTTTTAATCCATTCATCTGCTGATGGACACTTAGGCTGTTTCCAAATCTTAGCTAATGTAAATTGTGCTGCTATGAACATAGGGGTGCATATATCCTTTCTGATTGGTGTTTCTGATTTCTTGGGATTTAGTCCTAGAAGTGGGATTACTGGGTCAAATGGGAGTTCCATTTTTAATTTTTTGAGGAAACTTCATACTGTTTTCCACAGTGTCTGCACCAGTCTGCATTCCCACCAGCAGTGCGAGATGGTTCCTTTTTCTCTGCATCCTCTCCAGCATTTGTTGTTTGTTGATCTGTTGATGATAGCCATTCTGACAAGTGTGAGATGGTACCTCACTGTTGTTTTGATTTGCATCTCTCGGATGATTAGTGACTTTGAGCATGTTTTCATGTCTCTTGGCCTTCTGTTATGTCCTCTTTCGAGAAGTGTCTATTTTGGTCCTTTGTCCATTTTTTGATTGTATTGTTTATCTTCCTTTTGTTGTATGAGTTCCTACAAATTTTGGAGATTAAACCCTTATCAGAAGTCACATTGGCAAATGTGTTCTCCCATGCAGTGAGGACTTTCTTGTTATTTTGTTGATGGCTTCTTTTGTGACAGATCCTAATAGATCTGAGTAGATTGTCTTTGCAGATCTTCCTTCAGAGCCAGGGAAGTGTGGGAGCAGGAGACAAAGAGGGATGAGGGCAAGAAATCTCTGGAGGTCAGTAATGGCTCTGCTTTATAGACAGAGGAATGATCTGCTTTTGTTTAGTGACATTATTGCTCATAAACTATAAAATAGAGACCTCATAATTTCAGAAAATGTAAAGGTCCTTAAGGTAGTATAACAAATTACTTACATTTTTAAGAAATGCAGATGGTGTTACAATATCCAATGCATTGTCTGAGGCACATAGGTAGATGATTCCATCAATGAAGAGACTGTGATAGACAAAGCTGTGAAAAGAATACATTCATTTACATGATAATATTAAAGAAATTAAGTATCTATGTAGCACATTTAATTTCATCTTTAAGTTCTCATTAATAGTATAAGAACTATCTATATAACTTTTAGAATCAGGATAATTAGAATATCTTTCATATATTTAAAAATTAAATTATATTAAATAAAAGCTAAAAAATTTGAAGATGTCTATTTATTTATTTAATATATTTTCTATTGATTTCAGAAAGAGAGAAGGAGGGAGATAAAAAAATTGATGATGAGAATCATTGATTGGCTGCCTCCTGCATGTCCCCTACTGGGGATTAAGCCCAAAGGAATCAAACCATGACCTCCTGGTTCATAGGTCAATACCACTGAGCCACACCAGCTGGGCTGAATATGTATTTAAAATAAATCAGAGAGAGAGAAACATCGATATGAGAGAGAACATTGATTGGTTGCCTCCTGCCCTGACCAGGGTTGGGAATCGAACCTACAACTGAGGTATGTGCCCTTGACTGGAACTGAATCTGGGATCCTTCAGTGTGCGGAGGTGCTGCTCTATCCACTGAGCCAAACTGGCGAGGGCATGGTACAAATATTTTTTTTAATATATTTTATTGATTTTTTACAGAGAGGAAGGAAGAGGGATAGAGAGTTAGAAACATCGATGAGAGAGCTGCCTACTGGGGATGTGCCCGCAACCAAGGTACATGCCCTTGACTGGAATTGAACCTGGGACCCTTGAGTCCGCAGGCTGACGCTCTATCCATTGAACCAAACCGGCTAGGGCTACAAATATTTTTAATGATGATATTGACTGATACAAAAAATTCCCACTTGGAAAATGTTTTATTTTTAATACATTATGTATGATTTTATGTAAAGTTTAAAAGCAGGCAAAGTTAAACTAAAGTATTACGAATTAGGATAATGGCTGCCTTTGGAGCAGTGGAAGTGGTTAGGAAGAAGAATGAAGAGGGCTTCTGGGAAGCTGGAGATAGTCTGTTTCTTGACCTGGTGGTAACAGGAGTGTTTACTTCGTGATGATTCATCTAGCTATTCACTTAGGATTTGTGCTCTTTTTGTATGGATGTTTACAGCTTACCAAGAAAAGTTTTTAAAAATCTGTCACTTTTTTTTGGTTTCAGGACTTTTGTTATTGGCTCCATCACATTGATTACACCTTGAGCTTACACATTAATTTTCGTAGAATATTTTCATAGACATACTTTTCATATTGAGATATCTACTCTATGTGAAATTCAGTTTTTATAGTATAATATAAGGGATCTTACTTTTTCTTTGCCCAGATGGACTGTCATTTTACTAGTACTTGATTTTGCCTCTTGACCCAAAAAGTCCTAAAATATTTACTATCTCACCCTTGATAGGTAAGGGTTAGAATGTAAACACTCTATTTCTATTTTACTCTTGGTTGCTCTAGAAATTCAACATGTATATGTAATTTAATTAAGTATAAACTTAATAAAATAATCCAGCACAATATAAGAAACTATTAAAATTGTTTAAAATTGGAAAATATTTTTATTTCTAAGTTGGGAGGAGTCTTTGCTGAAAAAGTTGCTAATTCTACCATCTCTCTGAAAGTTGTATATGTGATTTGAAGTAAATTGATAATTGCTATGAAAAGATTATTTTAAATTTTGCTTAGTATGTTATTACTGAGTAATATTCAGAAACCATCTTTAAATGTTAAAAACAAACAAACTTGAATATCTGATGTCCAGGATATGCTGTTAACTGACTATGTATGAAGTACTACCATTATCTATCATGCTCATATGCTACCAAGGAAAGTACAAATATATATTGTGTCTCATATAAAAAAGAAAAGAAAAAATGATAAACTAAAAACTTACTCAAAATGATTACCTACATAGGGAGAGAGAGAGAGTCAGTGTAGACAGGAAAGGAATGAAAATTAGACTTCTTAAAGGAAACGTATTTTGTATATTTGACTTTGGAACCATATAATTTTGCATAATTATAAAATGTTATTAAGTCAAATTTTGAATATAATCTTTAAAAACAAAAAACAAAATGAAAAAAGTGAAGCCAAATTTATATTGAGTAACCCAAGCAAGACATGATGGTAGTGTGGTTCCTATGGTATTGGTGGAAGTTGTCAGATTCTGGATATATTTGGAAGGTAAAGTCAACAGAATTTGCTGATGGATTGGATTTGGATGTAAAAGAGACAAAAGTCAAGGATCATAAAGGTTTTAGGTCTGAGGAACTGGAAAGTGGAACACTGCAGGAGGAGGGCTGGTTTTAGACATAGGTTTGAGATGCTTATCAGACATCCAATAGAGATGTGGAATGGGCAGCTGGATACATACATTTGGAGTTCAGGGAAGAGGCCCTCAAAAGATTCAAATTAGAATGTATATTGTAATTTACATTTAAGCATATCTTTTTTTAATAAAACCATTCCTGCTAATAAGTGAAAATAAAACTAGAATATCACTAATTTGCAAACCCCAATAAATTAATGGCTCTAGGGTGTAGACAATGAATATCAATGGCTGCTAGCATGTCAAAAGGAAGTATAAGCAGACAGTATGTACTATCCGATGAAAAAACATTTATAGTCTTCCCAAAAAACATTTATACTCTTGATCCAGCTGGTTAGAGCATGGTAAACTGCATTTTGAGTATGCAATCAGCAAACTCAGACTGTGGGAAACTCTATAGGTTCTTCAATAAATTGTAAGGATAGGACCGGAATAGAGGAAGAATATGTAGATTAAAGAAATTTAAATAACATCAAATTAAAAAATAGGCAGTATTGGGCTCTAATATCTGAGGTGTATATTTAGGTGCTGAAACAATGAAGAAACAGGATAAGTGGCTGCTATACTAGGTAAAAGTTGGAATGATGGAGGAGAAGAAGGAAACTGTGCACAAACAGGACATGTGGTGGGGAGTTTTGGGGGTAGTTGGCAGTGTTCTATTTTTTTGGCATAGGTGGCAGTTGCAGTTGGTAGGGGAGTTCCCTTATAAAACTTCATAAAACTATACATTTGCTTGATGTGGTTTTTGTTTTCTTTTTTTTTTTAAAATATATTTTATTGATTTTTCACAGAGAGGAAGGGAGAGGGATAGAGAGTTAGAAACATCGATGAGAGAGAAACATCGATCAGCTGCCTCCTGCACACCTCCTACTGGGGATGTGCCCGCAACCCAGGTACATGCCCTTGACCGGAATCGAACCTGGGACCCTTGAGTCCGCAGGCCGACGCTCTATCCACTGAGCCAAACCGGTTTCGGCAAGGTTTTTGTTTTCTTAAAAAAATCTTTTGACCCCCTTCACCCATTTCTCCCACTACCCGTCAACCCCTACATCTGGCAAACACTAACCTGTTCTCTGTATCTACCAACTTGTTCTTTGTTTTTGTTTTTAGAGTGGTCTTATTGAAGATATTTTAAAGTGGAAGTTTCCTTTTTTATTAATAAAATATTTGGGGTATACCAAAAACAGTATGGAGAATAAGGACAAGAACACTTGTAGACCCACCAATCTATTTAAAATGTTACAGATACAATTAATGTCCCCTGTATACTCTCCCTCAATTTAATTCTTCTCCCATCACTTTGCAAAGGTAAGCACTTTCATGAATTTGGTGCTTATCATTCCCATTCATAATTTTATGCTTTTACATATAGAAGGTCTTTTTGAAGGCTCAATCAAGAGTATGTACAACTAATATATTTTTTCCTCATGCCATTATCATTGGAATTATTAGCTGATAATTGTTAAAAAGTAGTTTCATTAGAATATACCTTACCTTCCCATTTGAATTGTGGTCTTTGGTTCAGCTCTAAGAAGCACTAGTCTAAGCACCGTTGCTGCTGTTTCCTAAAAATAAGTTGTCAGCATTTACTTTGCAGAAGATTGCAGTGTTTTTCATTATTCTTCTCCTAAATTTACTTATTTTCTGATTAGTTTATTAAAGGACAACTGTTTACTAGGAGAACTAATGGGTGGTTATTCATAATTCATGGTAAGAGGCAAGTTATAAATATTAATATGAATATCCAGACTCATATGAATCTGAAGGAAATTTTTAAAATTACAGTGGGGCCTTGACTTACGAGTGTCCCGACTAACGAGTTTTTTGAGATACGAGCCGTCTCTCAGCTGATTTTTTGCTTTGAGTTGCGAGCTAAAATTCGGGTTATGAGCCAGCTTCAGATACCCCACCGCTAGTTGGTGCAGCGAACATCACAGTGAACACCACAACATCAGCCCAGCATCACGTATCATTGTAATGGTGAAAATTGATTTGACATATGAGTAATTTGAGTTACGAGCTCCATCACGGAACAAATTAAACTCGTAAGTCAAGGCTCCACTGTACTTAATATACATATCCTGTGTATATACATATAACTGTGCAAATATGGTTTGTACTAGATAATCAGTCTTATTTTTACAGTCACATCATCTACACTAATAAAAGAGAAACATGCAAATTAACTATCACTCTGTCACTCCACTACACCCACCAGCCAATCAGAGCAACTATGCAAATTAACCCAACAAAGATGGCGGTTAATTTGCATACACAGGCACAGAGCGAAGACTGAAGACAACTGAAGATGGTGGCGGCCACAGAGCTGGAGCGAGCAGGAGGCTTGGGTTGCTCCCGGCGATGGAGGAAGCCAAGCTTCCCACCGGCCCTGTACTCTGCTCAAGGAGGGGCTGGGGGACTGGGCTCTGCTCAAGGAGGGGCTGGGGGCCTGGATCGTCGGGGGCAACCCAGGCTTCCAGTCCGCTGGAGGAGCTGGAAAAAAAAAAAGGAGGGGCTGGGAGCAGCTGGAGCAGAGAAGCCAAGCCTTGCTGCTGTGGGCGGACCAAAGGCCTGGGTCCCGGGTGCCGGAGGAAAACCGGTGCCGGCAGCCAGGGGAAGGATGGCCTATTGTGTGAATCTTCGTGCAACGGGCCATTAGTACATATATATATGGCTTCAAGGCTGGGAAGCACTATCTAATCAAATATCTTTTCAGTGACTAAAACTATAAATGAAATGTTAATGGATTAAAAGTATTCAGCTCTTGTTCTCTGAATACCCTGTCTTTTGGTTAAGAAAAAAATTTTTATTCACTTATCTCTTTCTATCAAACAAATAATTGCTGAGATCTCTTATAGCTGTCTCTTTTTTAAAAAATATTTTTTTAATTGGTTTCAGAGAAGAAGGGCGAGAGAGAGAGAGATAGGAACATCAGTGATGAGAGAGAATCATTGATCTGCTGCCTCCTGCATGCCTCACTCTGGGGGTTGAGCCCGAAACCCAGGCATATGCCCTGATCGGAATCGAACCATGACCTCCTGGTTCATAGGTCGATGCTCAAACACAGCTACACTGGTTTCTTATAGGGCTCATTCTTTGGTTAAAATTTGTAGGATGTTACAATTATCCAGAATTCCTTAAGTCTCATTATTTTTCTTTAGAAGTGTAAAAGGAACCAAACCTGAAAGTTATTTACTCTTAATTAGCTTTTCTACTTTCACAAAATGACACTTGAAATAAAAACTTTTTGGGAAATAAAAACTTAAAGCTTATTATTATTTTTAATTTTTAAAAATTAATCTTCACCAAGGATATATTTTACTGATTTTAGAGAAAGAGAGAAATATTAAAACATTGATGTTTGAGATGAGAGAAATATCCATCAGTTGCCTCCCATACATATCTCCACCAGGGATTGAACCCACAACCTAGGTATGTGCCCTGACTGGGAATCGAATAGCAACCTTTTGATTCACGGTACAAGACGACGATTTAACCAACTGAGCCACACCGGCCAGGCTAAAGCTTATTATTAATGGGAGAGAGTAAAGCTTGAAATTTGTGGGATTGCCTGAAAAATCCAAGCAGTATTCTCTAAGAAAAGATTTCCAAAGAAACAAGAAAAATTAAGGGAGTACATAGACTTTCAGTTACTCTGTTATCATCACTGGAATATATTCCCCTAGCTTTCCGCATGTGTCTCATTTAGAGTAAATAATCAATGAAATAATAGAAAAATTTGAAACAAAGCAAATGGCAACATGAGGCAGTAAAAGAGTGATGACTGAGCTCTAGATATGTTTTTGTTATAAAAGTACTGCACGACTTAAGAAAGAGACTTGTCTGGGTTGTTTCTTTGTGTGAAGAATGAAGTGGGCAAGATCCTGTCCAACTCTAGGACCCTAAATAGCAATTGATTTGATCTCATGATTAAGCTTTAGCAGGTACTAATACTTTTCTAATGATTATAAAATAGTTGTGACATTAATATTTAGCATTGAGAAAAGACATGGTAGAACTATTCTTTAAAGCACGTTGTCATTCCTTTCCTTCTCCCCGGTCAGCTTTTTGTACAGCAATCATTCTAAACCTTTAATCCTTTCTTCCAATTGCTCCACTTCTTCCAAATTTCTTACCTTCCTGCATGTTTCATAAAGATAAGTCATTGGGCTTATGAACCCCTTCAACTTTCTGTCTCTCTCCCCTCTTAATTAGGCTTCAAGGAGGAATTGAGAAAAGTCTCAAAGCACATAAGAGGTTATACTGCTAAAAAGTGCAGACAAGTGGGTTCCAGGGAGAGGGAAGAGGAGATAAAGTGAGACCCTGGTGAGAGTGGAGAACAGATGAAGGTCAGAATAGCTGCAGCCCAAAAATATGTGGGGGAAGAGGAGATAATCATGGAAAAGTCCTACCAGGGAGGGCCTTGAATGACAGGCTAAGTGGTATGGGCTTTATTCTATATGTAATCAGGTGCCACCAAATGATTTTAAGCAGGGAGTGACATGATCATGTTTGCTTTTAGCAACAACCACTTGAGCAGCAGTGTGGAGGCTGACTTTGAGAGGGACAAGGCTGAAGTCTGAGAGATCAGTTAGGAGGCACTTTAAAAAATATTAATTTATTTATGAGAGAGCGGGAGAGAGGGAGAGAGGGAGAGAGAGAGATATTCTACCTATTTATGTATTCATTGGTTGATTCTTGTATATACCCTGATCGGATCAAACCCTCAACCTTGGTGTACTGGGATGATGCTCTAACCACCTGAGCTATAGGGCTAGGGCCAGGAGGCACTTTCAATAACCCTCGGTGACAAGAATTGAGGGCCTAGATGACAACATGGTTCAGAAACAAGGAAATGGATTCAAGACATATTTAGGGGACAGAACTAATTGAACTTGGTGACAAAGAACAAATGTGAAGGTGAAGAAGGAGGAAAAATTGAAGGTGACTCCCAGTTTCCAGCTTGAATGGCTCAGTAGAGCTGCTCAACAAGATTAGAAATACATGAGGAGGAATCAGGAAAGAATTAATTTAGTTCTTCTATTAGGCACTCTAACTGTGGAGAGAGATTACTTTGGAAGTGGGTCTGAGAGTGATCAAAGTAAAGGTGTTCTGTGTGTGAATGAATGTGTCAAGTTAAAAGAGGACTGGAGTTAGAACCCTGAGGAACATAGAGAGAGGGCATTCCTCGAATCCAAGGCTCACATCTCCACTGCCACACTGGATTCCACTCCTTTGTGCTCCTTTAGTCTTGCTCCACCAACAGCCCCTTCCTCTCTTATAGCTCCAGACTCTTCCCATTAGCCTACATACATGTGAAAGTTTTCTCTGTACTAAAAAATGAGGCCCCCTCCTGGACCATGCTTTTCTAGCTTTCACTGTATCTCATTCCCTTTCTAAATTCTTGAAAGAACAATCTAACTTCACTCTCTTTACTTCCTCATCTCCCATTCACCTGGCTTAAAGCAATCTGGCGTCTGCCTCTACCTCTACCACTTCTACCAAACTGCTAACTGTATGGTCAGCAATCATCTCCTAACTATAGAATTTAATGAACACCTTTTAGATCTTGTTCAACTTCTTTGGGGCATGAAAGTTTCTTGTAACTTCCTTTTCTTGGCTTTCAGGACACCACTGCTCTCACCCACTTCTACTATCTTCAACTGTTAGCCCTGACCCTCTGAGTGCTACATTGAACATTTTATCACTTAAAGCTTTTGGGGTTAGGTGAAGGAATAAATACACAAATCGATTGGCCATTTCCAATAGGCAACAAAATTCAACCTGTCCCAAATTGTACTCTCCTGCCCTGCGTTCCCTCTGACTCTCTCCTCCACAATCCTCCTCCTCCATCTGTAGTTTCTATATTGTTTACTGACACGTGAGGGGGAAAAAAAAGACAAATCATCACACTGTACACCTTAAACTCACAGTTATATGGCAATTCTATTTCAATAGAGCTGGGGGGAAAAAAAGAAAAAAAATTAAGAAGCATCCTAGGCATGACTCTGTCACTAACTCCTGAGGATTAGTTTTACAAAGTGTTTCTTAGGATCTGCCACCTCCTTTCTGTCTGTACTGTCATTGCCTTAGCTCTGGCCCTTAGATCTTCTACATAAACTGTAATAGTACCATCCTTACTGGTTCTCTCCCCTCCAACCCACCTTTGGATTGTAACCAAACCAAATGCACCAGAAGATATGTCAGATCATGCTATTCCTTTATATATTTAACTAGAGACTCGATGCATGAAATTCGTGCAAGAGTAGGCCTTCCTTCGCCCAGCTGCTGGCATCGGCTTCCCTCTGGCATCTGGAACCCAGGCTTCCCTCGCAGCCCCGGCTTTGTCCCGAAGGTTGTCTGGAAGGACGTCCAGTCTAATTAGCATATTACGCTTTTATTATTATAGACTAGAGGCCTGGTGCACAAAAATTGGTGCACTTGGGGGGGGGGGGTCCCTCAGCCCGGTCTGTGCCCTCTCGCAGTCTGGGACCCCCTCGGGAAATGACCACCTGCTGGCTTAGGCCCGCTCCCGGGGGTATTGGGCCTAAGCTGGTAATCAGACATCCCTCTGGCAGCCTGGGAGCCCTCAGGGGATGTCCACTTGCCAGCAGGGAGCAGGCCTAGCTGCAGTCGGACATCCTTAGTGCTGCTGAGGAGGTGGGAGAGGCTCCCATCACCACCACTGTACTGGCAGCCATCAGCCTGGCTTGTGGCTGAGCAGAGCTCCCCCTGTGGGAGTGCACTGACCACCAGGGGGCAGCTCCTGCATTGAGCGTCTGCCCCCTGGTGGTCAGTGTGTGTCATAGTGACCAGTCATTCCCAGTCTTTCTGCTGTTAGGGTCAGTTTGCATATTATCATTTTATTATATAGGATTATGTCCCAGTTTCTCTAGGACAAAAAAAAAAAAAAAAGAAGATAGGCCCCTTCAATAATTTTTCTCTGCTCACCTTTCTGATCGAATCTTTATGTCCTACATACTAGGGCCCTGGGCTCTATCTGGCCCCACTGAGGTTCTTGAGGTGGGCCGTTTCCTCTGCACGGAGTCCCTATTTCGCTTTCCTGTGCCGCTAAGAGAACTCTTGCAAGGCTTCTAAGCCAAGCACCCTACCATCACCTCCTCAGTGGTCGCAAGCAGCCACCCGTCCAGAGTGTCACAGGAGCAGGCTGGACCTGCCCCCACTGGAATACTTCTCACACTGCAGGACTCCTGTAGGCCGCCCTGGGACATAAAGGGACCTGCGCTCATCAAGCGGCAACTTCAGGTGCTGTCTTCTCTTCATTGCTGCGCCCCTCACCCCGTTAACCGGGGATTACACAGCTAATACATGTCCAATAAGTGCGTGTGGATCTGCGGTCATTTGTCCTCAGGGGAGAGAAAACCCGGAAGGGTTCTCCGACATTGGACAGGGCTTCGGCTATCACCGCCAAAGGGGTCGCGTGCAGCACCACCCCTAACCCCTAGGCGGCGCCCGAGCGGCTCCGCTGTTCTGCAGCTCGAGAGGCTCCGGCCCGGGACTCCCCGCCGCGCAGGCCGCCGCGCACGGGGGCGGGGCCTCTCGTCCCCACTCGCCGCCCATTCGGGCCTCCCGGCAGCGCCGCCTCCCGAGGGGCGGGCCCGGCAGGCATCACCTTTCAAAACCAGAACGCGCCAAGGCGGAGGCGACGATAGGAGTACCTGGTAGGAGCCGCCGGTCCAGGCCAGATCCGCCAGGATCACCCGGCCATTAGCAATGCAGCTGTAGGTGATCGTCATTGTGGGCGGGCCAGTGAAGGGCAGGTTCCCGCCAGACCCAACCGCCCGCGGTAGCCTCGGGGCGGAGACTGGGGCGGGGCTCTGGAGGGGGCGGTGTACGCGCAGGCGCGAGGAGCGGTTGATTGGCAGTGAGGGAGGCGGGGCCATTTCTTGCCCGGGCTGAGTCTGTGATGAGCTGCGGGGCGGGAGCGGGGGCCGAGGTTTCTGGAAAAACTGGCTTTGGGTGAGTGAAGCCCTTCTTTGTGGCCATCCTTAAAACCACTGTAGAGCCAGTTTACTTCACAGTGCCCACCCACAGAGAATTCATTCACAATCTAACACATGTAAAAGATAGACCTTGTTTTAAAATAAAATTCATTAACAAGCATTGGCTGAACTCGCACGATGTGCTAAGTGCCTTAGGTTAGCAAGTATGCATAGCTGTAGGCCTCACTGAGGAGGTCGTATTCTAGAAGTGGTTACAGAGGTACATGCAGATAAGTGCCAATCTCAAGTGATAAATATATGATGGAAAGATAAACTAAGTTGCAGAAGCTGAGGTGGAGGCAGTTACTCCTTGGGAGAGGGAGCAAAGCTTTCAAAGTCCCTCTGGGACTTAGAGGATGGGTTGGAATTCTCTAAGTGGGGAGGAAAGCTAGGGCAGGCTGAGCAGAGGGAACAGCTCTTAAAGCTCTGAAGGAAGGCAAGGCTGGGGAATGGCTGTGAGTGAGTGGCAGAGGAAAGGCGTATGATGGGTGGATGGGCAGGAGATGAGAGTGGTAGTAGTGGTGGAATGACTTTTGTTATCCTCGACCTTGAATTCCTGGGCAAGAATTTTTTCATTAGTATGGCATTGCAGAAGAGTGGAAAGAAATCAGATAAAACTTGGATTCAGATATAGACATTGCTATTTACTCTGTGCCTGGAATGTAACTTAACCTTTCTGAGACTCCGTATCCTAATCTATAAGATGAGGAGAGTTGTCAAGTTTAAATTAAGCAAATATGCAATTTCTTAGTATATAGTAGGTAAGCAATTGCAATCCTTTGTGTGATAAATACATGAATGAAAATTACTTTATTGCTCCCAAATGGTATAACTTAAAAAAAAAAAAAAGCAATCCATGTCCTTCAGCGGTGCCTGGCAGGAGGTGAAGACAGGTAGTAATTGAGTTTATCTAACCCAGGGTGATCAAATTGGGTTTAACAAGCAAGTCACAAAACTGGTCTGAACTGTAGCTCTTGAGAATGATGCCTTCTTGAATCATCTATCCTTCTATATAAAGAAAATCTTGAATCAATGTATCTTATCAGCTTAGAGGGAATGCCTTGTGCTACAGGTGGGGTGGCTGAATTAAAAGCTCTGGTTACATTGCTAATATGTGAGAAAATGAAATATGTTAATTCGGAGGTAATGTGTTGGTATATTCTTGCTTACAGTAAAAATAAGCAGAACAAACTTGGTCGTATTGCAGTGCACCTTCTGTTTATTAAATAGTGGAGCAGAGAGTGGCTGGGCAGTGAAATCATGAGCTGTGGTCATGATAATAAGCACCTGATAGTTGGAGAGGTATATATATATATATGACCTCCCTTGTCTCAGTTTCACCTTGTCATTAAAACAATCCTGTGTGGTGGGTGCACGTTTCACAATCCACAAATTCAGGCCTACACCAATGTAAGCTGTAATTTATAATATAACTCTTTCTTTCTTTGAGCCCCATTTTTTAAATATTTTATTGATTTTTTACAGAGAGGAAGGGAGAGGGATAGAGAGCTAGAAACATCGATGAGAGAGAAACATCGATCAGCTGCCTCCTGCACACTCCCCACTGGGGATGTGCCCGCAACCAAGGTACATGCCCTTGACCGGAATCGAACCTGGGACCCCTCAGTCCGCAGGCTGACGCTCTATCCACTGAGCCAAACCGGTTAGGGCTCTTTGAGCCCCATTTTACCTGATATCTGAGGCTGAATCTAGTTAGTGTTGGGTTTCCTCAGTTAACTCAGGACCTCCCCTTCCCTTCTTTCTACATGGGGTGGCATCTATGTGTGTGTGGGAACCTAGTGGAGGGGGAGATCTTCTGATTCATGACCTTCATCTCTCCAAGGTGGCACCTGCTGTTAATGTTCGTTATCTCTCTGTCTCCGGTCACCAGTCACATACTCTACAAGGCCTCTTCAGGTGCTCTGGTTCTCTCTCAGCCACGTTTGTGGCCCTGTTGTGGGGGCAAGGAAACTTCCTGCTGCATTCTGAGGTGTTGGGAGCCTGGAGAGGCTCTGCCCCACACACCATGCTCCAGCCCTCCTGGTGTCCTGTCACTCTGTAGTCATATGGGGAGCGCCTCTTAGACCTTACCTCACCTGGGAAGCCAGCCCTTGAATCCCCAATTTACTGAGCATCTTCTCATCATTATAGTCTATATCCACTTCACCTTCCAGTGGGACTCTGGCGAATTGGATTGCTTCCTTCGGACTCTCTGCCCTCCTTCAGCCTGTGGAAACTCCAGTAAGCCAGTTGGGAACCTCCTACCACCCACGGCGTTCTTCTCAATTTATGGCGTCTATGTTGGCTTTTGCTGTCCATATACTCTCTCTTCAGGGAGTTTCCAAAATCTGTTTTGAAACATTAAGAGCTGAGAATCTTTTTCTTCTTTCCCTGCCCTTTCTTCCTCCTCTGTCCTTCCTCTTCTTCCTCCATTTTCTTTGTTCTTAATGTTTATGCAAAAGGGATAACCGAGAATAAAAAGCACAGCAGGTAATACAAAATATCACAGGTATTTCCATCTTTCCTTTGATAGTTTGACAAAACCTGGAAGATGGAGCAGGTGAGAAGGTGGATCCCTGGGAAGGAGAAATTGGACATGTCACCATTTTCCATTTTAAAACAAGATTTTAAAACAAGATTTTAGACCTCATGACAACTTTCACTGATTTTACTGTCATTGCTTTTTAGAGATTAGCTTTTCAGAAAGAAAAGTCACTAATTTTTGAATCGTCCTATTTCTGAGGTCACTAGAGAGTTTGTCAATACTCCACAAGCTGCAAACTTTCAAGTACTCACTAATTCAGGATGTGCTTTATTAAGTATTGACATTCTCCTATAAGTAAGTAAAAGTTGGCTTTTATAATAAATGTTGTTTTCTCTGACTATGGTGTATTTTTCAAATGTTTCCTCTGAAGCTTATTTTCTTCTTTTTGTATCTATTCTTTTGCAGACATTTTTGCTTCCTACCTAGACAAACATGATTTTTTTATGATGATGTTGGACTTTACTGTCATTTTCAGCAAGGCTTCCTTTCCTAGCCTCAGATAAAAATATTCCCTTATTTTCTGTAAATATTCTGTTATTTTATTTTTTTAATATTTAAAACTTTAATCCACCTGAAATTTGTTTTTGTGTCTTTTGTGAGGTAGGAATTTGTGTTTCCCCAAGTGGACAGCGAGTTGTTTCATACAATTTACTGACTATTTTTCCCCCACTAATTTGAAATATTACTTTTACCATAGACTTAATTACCCCTATACTTTGTAAATTAGACTTTTGAGTTGATTTATATGCCTGTTTCTGTGCTGATATCACAATAATTCAGTAACTATACCTCAAATTGCTTTAAATTGAACAAATTGGAGATAATATTTTTAGAATATTGAGTCTTCCCATCCAGGACATAGATTGTTTTTCTAGCCATTCTTTATTATGTTTTCCCATAAAAGCTCTCTAGGTTTCTTCAAAAAGGCTTGACAAATTCTTAAATTTTTTTTCCCTGGGGTATTTTGGCTGCTCTTGGTCATATGGAATTTGTTCCTCATTGTTTTTAAACTGGCTATTTTGGGCATGTGTAAACTCTATTAGCTATGTTTAATTTACTTTGTATATAGCTCCTGCCTCATTATATTGTAAACTCCTTAAGGCCAGAAGCTTCACATAGGGCACATAGTCCTTTGCTCAATGAGAACATCCCACAGGACGCTGCTGTTGACTGTCATATTAGGCTTTTACATTATACTCAGCAACCAAGCGGAGGGCAGCCTCAGGTGGCCATGATATTTGTGGAAACCATGATGATTGAGAGGAGTGTAATGGGAAGCCAAGCAGACCTGGCTTGAATGCTCACATTGCCACTTTCTAGTTGAGTAATCTTGGCATCTCTGAGCCTCAATTTCTTCCTTAGGCTCACATCTGAACCTAATTCATAAAATGAACTGACATACATAAAGCTTATTATGACTGGCTCCCTGCTGGGGTCCAATCCCAGCGGGTCCAGGGGTCCCCAAAGGTGTGAACGGAGTCGGCGAAGAAGGAATGACACGAAGACAGCCTTCAGTTGATCAGCAGCCTAGTCAGGACCTCTAGCCAGGATCTCCAGCCAAAGTTCTGGTCGGAGTACTGGTTAGGAACTGATCAGGATCTGATGTTTATTGTCTTGTTACATCCGTATTTATACCAGCCGATTTTAATCCTGTCAATTTCTATTACAAAGGTTAGGGCGTTTCTTATCTCCATTCCAGGGAGTAAAGATTATGTAGCTTAACTACCCGCCTGGCACTTAATTAAGGGGTTGTATCCCCTCCCTAACCTCAGGGAAAAATCCCCACCTGGGGAAACAACCTTTTTGGAGAGGTGACCTTGGTTAAAACACATGGCGCTAAAGAGAGCAAACATATTAAGAACAATATGCTATATATGCCAGGTCCCTTGAAACATATGCTGTGCAGATGTTTCTTTCCTGCAGCGACTGTGTCAAGCAGCAAGGATGGACCGGCTCCCGGCAGCTCCCAGCAGGTATTTCATAATGCATGGCTGTTAAGATCATTAGGAATCCATATTGTCACATGTTAGAGGAACTTTCTAAAATCCTTTCTTTCTGAGAAGTGTGTTATATATTGGTCTCCTCTCTCTAACTTGTAAGTTTCCTGAGAGCAGAGGCCAAGTATTACCAGTATTTTTATCCCCAGCACCTCACACGTGGTAGACACAACTTCGGTGGCTGCGTTTGATAGCATGAAGTACAACAACTTATTTAACCA